GGCCAGCAGTGAGGAGGGATGGGGTCCAACCGCATCCGGGTAGGTGCTGGCGTGCCCGGCGGCCTGCATCACCTAGTAACAGGCCAGCAGTGAGGGGTGGGATGTTGGGTTGGTGGTGAGAAGTCATCAGATGTTTGGCTGACTTAGGCTTTTTACGTTATTGGTAATACTCTTTTCAGGAATGAGGAAGTCATCATTTTGCTGGGTTATTTTGTTTGGTTTTAAGAGAAAAATAACAGCTGTGAGAGTACAAATAGGACATGCCCCACCGCGCGGCCTGGTTTTTCTTTCTTCTGCATGTAGATTTTGGCTGTGTCCACACCCAAATTGACCAAACCAGCAGATGTGCCGTGTGCCTTCTGCTTGGAGTACTGGACCTAGCCCTTGTGCTATGCCCCCGGCTGGGCTTGTGAGCTCCAACCCACCCTGATAGCAGGTTTCCCAGGGACAGTGGGCATTAGCACATGATAGTCTTCTCTGAACGCCGTGCCAGTGGCACAGACCACACAGCATCAGGTGCCACCCATGCCTCCAGAAACACTGGGCAGAGGGACGGAAGGAATTCTTGAGAAGCTGTCCGGTGTCCATAGAACGCAGACCAAGTCCTTCACCCATGGCCACTGTGGCTGCAGGGAAACTGGACCAAGTCCTTCACCCAGGGATGCTGTGGCTGCTAGAAGTTGGGCATCTAGGGACTAACATGGGGTGGTGGGTCCCATGGGCAGATGTCATTGTGAGCTGCCTTCAAGTCAGCCCCTGACTCACAGTGACTCGTGACAGTGAAGGAGATGCTGCCATCCTGCCAGTCATGGGCTTCGTCCCGTGCCATCCCCCTGATGGGCTGCAGATAGGACCGTGTGATCCATGGGGATCTCAGTGGCTGATTTCAGAAGTAGATGCCAGCCCATTCTAGTCTGTCTTACTCTGGAAGCTCTGCTGAAACCTGTCCACCATGGGTGATACCACTTGTCTTTGAGTTACAAGTGGCATAGCTTCCAGTCACAGCAACCCGCAAGCCACCACAATACTACACACAGACCAGTGGTGGATGGGCAATGGTAGGACATCTTTAAGCAGAAGACAGTCTGACCCACACTGCTGGCCCCCACAAGGTTATGACGGGTTCCAGCAGTCCCATTTAGCCTGGTGTTTTGAGGGCAGTGTCCCCAGGTAATCACGCTGTCCCCTCCCTCCATTCCTAAAGTGCCTGGTTGGCTTCTGGAAGCATTAGCACTGGCTGCACTCAGTCAGCTGAGCCCTGGAGAGCTGGGCAGGCTGCAGTCTGGGCAGGTAGTTGGCCCAGGTCTCTCGGTGAGCTTACGGCTGTGGGTAGCAGAGCCATCATGTGAAAACCGGAGGACCTGCCTTGCTGGTTCTGTATCCAGGGCCTGGAACTTCTTGGGGCCAGTGGCTCCTCACAGTAATGCCGGCGTTTGCATAAGAACACCCTCCCCAATTCGTCATCCTCCAAGGTAACACCCAGGTGGCGTGTCTGGTGCCAGTGCTGGGACACGTCTCCTGTGTTGCTGGAGCCCTGTCACACACACACAGCTGGTTGTACCTGCTGGCGTTGCTGAAAGGTGGCTTGTTCCAGGGCTGCAGCAGCTCAGGGGAGGCAAGAGACCAAGGTCTCCTGTTTACTCAACAGCTCACTACAGGCAGGACTGCGGCACTGGGGAGACCGCACCTCCCTGTGGCTCACAGGTGACCGGGGGAGTGCTATGGACAGTGCAGCTCACCTCACCACGAGGAGGGCAACCAGGGGCAGTGGAGCTGCAGGCAGGTGGAGTGAGTCCCAGCTCAGCCTCCAGCTCCCAGCTACTCTGGGGAGAAGCAGACCTTGAGTGGTGCTGCCTTATCTGCTCAGAAGTTAGACCAGGAAGAGACTCAAGAAGCCACCTAGTTCATGAGTTTTCCATCTGTTCTCCGGAACCAGAGGGGACAGGTGGGTGGGACTGGGTCCCTCCTACACTGCCTTCTGTTTCCATCCTCCACTTCCAAAGATGCTTTTGCTAGAGCATTTCCAACCAGCAACGTAACTTGTCACGGCCACAAGGCTGCAGGCGCTCTGACCTCCTCATACAGTGACCCATGCTCACCTGGCATGGCTGGGTGCCAGCACATGGCTAACTGCTCTTTCTCGCAGGCAATTGAAAATATCGACACGCTAACCAACCTGGACAGTTTGTTTCTGGGGAAAAACAAAATCACCAAACTTCAGAACCTGGATGCACTTTCCAGCCTCACTGTCCTCAGTATGCAGGTACTGCACCGCACACCCCAGGGGCCATCCCCCGAAGCCTGTCCCCCACATGCAGCACCCATGCACCCCCCTGAGCCCTGTCCCCCACATGCAGGACCCATGCACACACACCCCCACGCTTCCATCCCCTACATGCAGGTCCCATACCCCCTGGCTCCCATTTTCCACATCCAGGTCCCACGCACCTTCAGCTCCTGTCCCCACATCCAGGTCCCACACCCCCCAGCTCTCATCCCCCACATGCAGGTCCCACGCCCCCCCTGAGCTCTGTCCCTCACATGCAGGTCCCACGTCCCCTGGCTCCCGTCTTCCATATCCAGATCCCATGCCCCGCCCCCGGCTCCCATCCCCCACATGCAGATCCCACGCCTCTTGGCTCCCATCCCCGGAGCTGTCCACTCACGCGCCCCCGACTCCTGTCCCCAGAGCCATCCACTCACACACACTGATGTGAGCTGCTCTGGTGAGCGCAGTGTTCTTCATCCTGACGTTACCATGGTTTGAGTTGCACACATCCTGAAACAAGAACAAGTCCATTTTAAGACACCTAGCAGTGGAGACTTCCTGCAATCATGAAACAACCCCAGTGGACCTCCCCCAAGCACACGTCCAGTGTGCTCTCCCTGTAAAACCCTGCACTGCCAGCCCCTAGTGTCCCCTGAAAGCAGCACCCGCTTGAGTCTCTGTCGTTTCTCTGTCCATAGTCCCATTTTAGTACGTTTCCAATGAAGGCTCTGTTCTCAGGGGTTCTAGGACAGCAAGAAGCTGAGTATCCTGAAGCCTGGTCACCCACCCCCCCACCTTGCCCCACCCCCCGCCTTGCCCCAGTGCCATGTCACCCACCCCCACCCCTTGTCTGAATGCTTGTATCACCCACCCACCACCTGTCCCAGTGCTGTGTCACCCCTTGTCCTGACACCTGGTCATTGCCCCCTTGTTCTAACACCATGTCACCCACCGCACCTTGTCCCAATGCCTGGGTCATCCACCCCCCTTGGCGTGACCCTGGGTCACCCTCCCTGCTTTGTCCTGACACCATGTCACCTGCCCCCCTTCTGACACCATGTTACTATCCCCACCTTGTCCTGATGCCCAGGTCACCCTCCCCACCTTGTCCTGACCCCAGCTCACCTGCCCCGTCTGACCCCAACTCAACCACCCCCTTGTCTGACCCTGGCTCACCCGCCCACGCCCCGTCTGACGCCGGCTCACCTGCCCCCTGTCTGACCCACTGGTTCTCTTGCAGAGCAACCGGCTGACCAAGATCGAGGGGCTGCAGAGCCTGGTGAACCTGCGGGAGCTCTACCTCAGCCACAATGGCATCGAGGTCATTGAGGGCTTGGAGAGCAACGTAAGACGGCCGGCGGGGGTGGGGGGCAGCCCCGGTCGTGAACACCGGGGCCCCAGTGTGTGTCCCAGCAGGGTGTGTCAGAGGCGTGAGGGTGGCTGTGTGCTCCTGCTCTGGTGTCCTAGAAAGGCTGCCCTTGGCACACGAGCAGGACGTGGGTGTTGGTGCCCTCACAGGGGACTTGCTGGGTCGTGCTCCCTGCATCCTGCAGGAGCGTGGGATACCTCTGCTGCGGCCCTAGGGCTCGGGGCAGTTCACAGGGCATAGGCCAAGCAGGCTTTAGCAGTCACACGTGCCCAATCCCTGCAGCTCCAGGACCACACGTTCCTGGCTCCTCTCTGCCCTTCTGCCCCCAGGCCATGCACACCCTCCAGTCCCACCCTCACCCAGGAGGAGGCCACAGGGCGCCCCGCTGCCCTCGGAGCAGCCGCCCCAGTGCCGTCTCCTGGGTCGATAAGGTGCTTCTGTGCATTGCCCTGTCTCAATTTTTCCTCGTTTTGTGTCACAGCAGCCATCCCATCGCTATCGTCAGGAAGGTTGTGTTTCAGTCACGGTGAAACCGCCGGCCTTTGTGCCATAGGCCAGGACCTATCCTGTAGGCCACGTCATTGACTGCATTTCCCGGACATCTCTGAACTATGGGGGAGCCAGGATGGGCCTGTGGGTAGTATCCTTACCCCTCTCAGGCTTGGCAGACAGAGCAAGAGCTCACAGACCAGAACAGTGAATAAACCGTGTGCTTGTCTCTAGGTGCTAAGTGTCGAGTTGACAGGAAGGTAGGGGCTGAGTGGGGCAGCTGGCATGTGTGTGGAAGCCCCATGGCAGAGCAGTGAGGGCAGCCTCACCAGTAGGATCAGCAGCTCCCTTCTGGCTCTGAGACCAAGAGGAAACCCCCATTGTTACTTCAGACATCATTGGGGCACTTTCTAGGAGCCCTGGTGATGCAGGGATAAAGCGCTCAGCTGCTCACTGAAAGGTCAGTGGTTGGAACCCACTAGCTGCTCCACAGGAGAAAGATGAAGCAGTCTGCTTCTGTGAAGACGACAGCTTTGGAGACCCTGTGGTGCAGTTCCACTCTGTCCTCTAGGGGCGCTGTGGGTCAGAATGGACTCCAGGGCAGTGGGTGTGGTTTGGGCTTTGCTTCTGTGAAGATTGACAGCCTTGGAGACCCTGTGGGCAGTTCCACTCTGTCCTCTAGGGGCGCTGTGGGTCAGAATGGACTCCAGGGCAGTGGGTGTGGTTTGGGCTTTGCTTCTGTGAAGATTGACAGCCTTGGGGACCCTGTGGGCAGTTCCACTCTGTCCTCTAGGGGTGCTATGAGTCATAATCGACTCCAGGGCAGTGGGTGTGGTTTGGACTTTGCTTCTGTAAAGATTGACAGCCTGGGAGACCCTGTGGGGCAGTTCCGCTCTGTCCTCTGGGGCGCTGTGAGTTGGAATCGACTCCATGGCAGTGGGTGTGGTTGGGGTCTGTGTTACTTTCCAGCTCATTCTGGTCAAGTGTGATCACTGTTTTTTTGGGATTCGGTTTCAACTAGAGATTAGCCAACTCTGTTTTCTTCTAGGTGTTTGTTATTTTACTCCATTTGTCTGAAGTTTGTTCTTTCGGTAGGAGGTGAGGCGGTGGCTCTGTCTTTTCCCTGGGGGCTGAGAGGTATCCCAACAGCCTATGTTAATTGCCAGTCCCAGGAGCAGATGCCTCTTTATCTACCATGCAGCCTTTGTTCTTAGTGCCTACGTGGCCCCACCTCCTCCAGGGTGTAGCCTCTGCCCAGCACCAGGACCTCTCTGGTATTGCATTGTCAGGGTCTGTCCTCGGACCTGCTGGACGTGCTCTCTGCCCACCCTGTCCCAGTCCCCCGCTCTCCTGCCCTCTCTTGGAGCAGTTCTTACTGGTTTGCTCTCAGGCGATCTTTCATAACTATCACACTCCCTGAAAACGTGAAAGGGTGTTGAACAAAATGCTGATGAGCTTAGGGTCAGGGCCAGTCCTGGAGGCCAGCACATACCCTGCCTGCAGCCCCTTGTGCACAGCCCTGGCTCTGAGGCCTTGCAGGGCTCAGACCCCACTGTGCCCTCAGATCACCTTCCATTTGCCTCGGCCACAACAGGCAGCCTGACCCTTGGCCAGATGGCAAGGGTGGAGGAGTGCAGGCTGTGGGGGACCCCTTTGTCATCTCCAGCGCTAGGTGTCTTTGGCCTGCCCACAGTCCTCAGCCTCACCCCCTTCTCCTGTGACTCTCAAGTTCCCTCCAGGAGCCCTGTGAGATCCCACAGGCAAGTGGCCTGCTGCCATCCATGGGCCTCAGCCCTCTGTGAGGTTGGAAGGAGCTGCTTTGTCTGCACACCCCCTCAGCCTGGCACAGAGCAGTCTACGTAGCCCTGTAGTGTACCAGGGATGTGGGGGACCTTGTGCCTGGTGCCTCTGTAACTCATCCCGGGTTCATGGCGCGTCTGTGCAGTGCTAAGTATGGGGGAACCTGCACGGAGCACTTTGCAGCGGCCTGCTGGCCGGATGCTTTATTTTCATCCTATTGTTGTTATGTGCCATCGAGTCAGAGACCCGACTCATAGCGACCCCTCCATGGGTTTCTGAGGCAGTATCACTATGGAAGTAGATTGCCCAATCTTCCTTCCAAGGAGTGACTGGTGGTTTTGAACCACCAGCCTTCTGGTTAGGAGTCAAATGACAGAGACATTTTTACTTCCCCTAAAACTTGGGGAGAAATTGGACTCAAGAATAAGGAGATGGAAGAGGGACCCCCCCCCATCAGAAGGGGGCCCGAAAAAGGCTTCTATCAAGCCAGTGGCCAGCTTGTAAATTCTTCCTTGTGATTTTGGAGGAACTTCTAGTTAGCTAATGCTTCACTTTCTCACTGCAGTCTTACTCTGGTACTAAATCTGGGAATACTGTAAGCTTCAAAGGTGCTGTCAAGAGCTGACCAACATTACCAGCAAGCAGGCATCTGATGGGCATTTTCAAAATAGAGAATCAGAGCGCTTGCTAAATACAAAATGCTGCTTCTGGCCAAAGTGTAGACTCCTGGGTCCCAGAAGATGCCTCCCTGGCAGGGCTGAGCCTGCACATGCGTGCTCTAACTCCACAGCCCTGAGTCCAGGGAACCACAGGCCTTGCACTTCAATAGCACTCACTTCCTTTCTCTGTGCAGCCTTGGATTCTGGGCACCACCACTGCCCCTCCCACCGTGTGCCTTGCACATCCTTAGCCTCCTCACCCCTGGCTTCTCATTCCTAAGTGAAGAGAGGGTTCCTTGGTATAGGATGTTGCCTAGTGATAAGCACTAAATAGATGTTGCTGCAGCTCACCCCCTCACCAGATGCCTCTCTGCAGCCCTCCAGGCCATCTCAGCTTTTAGGTTGGGACACTCTGCTCTGGGGTTTGGGGATCACAGGGCCTAGAGCCTGACAGTCAGCTTTGAATCCATGTTGTAAGGACTGCATGTCAGCGCTAACCTCTAGTGTGGCCTAGGTGGGTTCTGTGACCCTTGTCTGTATGCTGTGCTGCAGGGGTGGGTGGAGAGGGCAGCTCCCATAGCTCTCAGCCCTCCACAACACTAAGCACATGAGCAACACTAAGTGCATGGCCACAACACCATTGCTGAATTGAGGTAATCTGGGACAAATTTTATTTCCTTATTTTAGAACAAACTCACGATGTTGGACATTGCATCGAATAGAATCAAAAAGATTGAAAATATCAGCCATCTAACAGAGCTGCAGGAATTCTGGGTAAGTTAACTGCATGCTGGGATTGATGACAGTTTCCCTGAACTGGGCCCACTGAATAAAATGCGTGGATTTGAGTGTCTCCAGTCTCAGAGGCTTTGATACTGACTACATCAAGCATGAACGAGATTTGAGTCCTGCTTTGGTGTTGGAATTAACCTCGCACTCAGAGCCTGGTTCACAACCAGCAGCCATGGGCAGTGCCACTGGCGCTCATGAGAACAGCAGAATCTCACAACTCATTCGCCCCAGGTGCAGATGAGTCAAAATTGCATCTTTACAAGATTCGTATGATCGCAGTGCCTGTTGTGTGAGAAACCCTGGTCTGTGTTTGCTTGGACCTACAATTGCCATGTGATGAAATTTCCAAATGCCAGAAAGCGGTAGCCCAGAGAAGTGGGAGGAAGTGTTGCATAGGTTTCTGCAGTCCACTATCTTGGAATATGCTGTGTGTCTAGCTCTTGGATATAGGTATGGTTTTTGAGAGTGCTTTACTGAGCCAGTAGAAGAAAAGCAACGTAGACAGAAATCTTTGCAGACGTCTCTGAAGAGGTTGCAAATGGTCATGGAACTGAAGTCCTCAGTGTTAAGATTTTAGCAATTTGAATGTATGTGGTGTGTTTTCTTTACTGTGATTGGCTAGGGTCTGTTGAACCTCTTGGATCCAAGGATTCAGCATTTTCATCAAATGTGGAAAACTTTCAGAAATTACTTTCTGAGGTATTTTATCTGCTCCTTCTTCCCCAGGCTATTTCTGAAACTCCACTTATACATAAGTTAGTCTAGCATTAGTTAGTCACTGAGGCTTTGTCACAGCTCACACTGCAGACTTTATCTTTCTGTGTTTCAGTTTTCTTCATGTCTGTTGCTTCAGGGTTGTTCTGGTTATCTAGTACTGCTCTGACAAAAATATACTACAAATGGTGTGGCCTTAACAAACAGGAGTTGATTCTTACAATTTAGAGGCTTTAAGTCCAAGCTCAAAGTGCCAAGCTCTAGGGGCTGGGTGAAAGCCCCTCAGCCTTGGGCTTCAACTCTGCCTCCAGCTCCTGGCCCACTGAAGCTAGAGGCTTTTCTTCACTCAGACAGTTGCTGGCTGCTGAGGCTGCCAAGCCCAAAGGTTGACAAGTAAAAAGGCACAGTCCTGATGTTACCAAACCACATGGCAGGTCATTAGTTCAAGTCCATTGTAAGTCCCAAGGTTGGCAGAGCATGGCAGGCTGCTGAACAATGGCACGGCTACATACAGGGTCCAGGTGTGCCATAAGCTAGAGACCATTCCCAAAGCTGCTGCTTATATATGGAAAGCACACCACATACCCAAAGCAGCTACTCAGCTACTTGTGGTAGATCCCACCATGGAGTTGATTGCCAGTCTCATCATGGGGAATAACTTCCACCAGCTGCCCAGCCACTCAGCCAGACCCAGCCAAGTTGGCACACAAACATAACCACCACAAGGTTTATAATCTCTTTTTACCTGATAACCAGTCTGCTGTTAAACCCATCTGTGGTGACTTGTTTATTTCAGAGTGTGTTTTTCAACTCTAAAAAATCACTTGGTTCTTTTTTGTAGTTTCTCTGTTCTGTCTTCATTATGTTTATGTTTTCCTTTAAACCCTGTCATCACATGTCTGGTGATTTTTATTAGATACTGGACATGCATTGTAAATAATCAAGTGTCTGGATTTTGTTGTTGTTGTTGTTAGGTGTCGTCGAGTCATTTCCGACTCATAGCGACCCCATGCACAGCAGAACGAAACACCACCCAATCCCGTGCCAGCTCCATGATCCTTGCTATACTTGAGCCCATTGTCACAGCCACAGTGTCAATCCATCTCATCGAAGGCCTTCTCCTCTGGATTTTGTTATGTGCCTTTAAAGTGTATTGGCCTTTTTATTTGATAGGCAGTTAAGTTACTGTTTGATCATTTTGAGGCTTGTTTTAAGTGTTTTTAGGGTGAGTCTTAAGGGGCTGATCCTCTAGGCCTAATTTAGCCCCACTCCCAAGGAGCTCTGGCGGCGTAGTGCCTAAGGCATTTGACTGCTAACCAGAAGACTGGCAGTTCAAACCCACCAGTCGCTCCTCAGAAGGAAGACTGGGTAATCTACTTATGTAGTGATACCGCCTCAGAAACCCAAGGAGGGGTCTCTATGAGTCAGAACCGACTCGACAGCAGTGAGTTTGTTTTTTCCCAAGCTAGTAGTAGTAACCATTCAGAAGTCTTTTCTGAATGTCCCTGGTGTTTAGCCAGACCTCTGCACTCTGCTTGGTGGGTATCTAAACATATCCCATGCTGCATGAACTCTGGTCGCTCGTGGCTCTCCAGCAGGTGTCCTTTGACTAGCTCCATGGGGTTTCACGCTGTGTATGTGCAGATTAGTTTTCAGTCTAAGACTCAAGGCGATGCCCATGAGACCTCTGGAGGTACTTCCGGTGCAGCCCACTCCTCTCCAGAAATTCCAGCTCCTCTGCCAACCTGAATCCGCCCTCTGCCTTCTCAACTCTGTGTGGCCACTGAGCTCTGTTTGGATTCACGCTCACACCAGAAAGCATCTCCAAACAGAAAGCCAAACATTCCTACAGCTCCCCTGGTTTGTTCCCAGGACCCATTGTCCTGCTTTGCCGGTTGTCCAGTATCTGAAAACAGTTTCCTGTATTTTGTTCTTTTTTGGATGTTGAGAGCAAAAAGGCAAGTCAAGCACCACTTATTCTGTCATGGTTAGGAACAGAAGTCCTCTACACTTAGTTATTTTTGTGTCTGTTTCCCCTGCAGCAGAATGGCAGCTTCATGAGGGCAGGAGGATTTGTCTGTCTCATCCGTTCTCATCAGCATCTAGAATATAGTGCCTGACGCACAGTAGATTGAGTGAGAGAAAGGGACACAGGCAAGGAAGGATGGTCAGATGGGTGGGGCCAGCTGTGGATAAGCAGGGGCAGACATGCTTGTCAAACTCATGGTCATCTTTATGTTAGAACAGCTCACACCAAGCTGCCACATGGAACCTGGGTGTAGGAAAATGAGTAAGTGATTCACAGAGAGAGAAGGAATGGTTACTTTGAATGCAGAAAGCCTTTTCTTTCTGGTTAATCGTTTTCTCTCATGTGTTAAGACTATGAGATAGCAGGTCATTGTGTGCCGTGTCGGCAAACATTGTTGAACTGTGATTGCAGCTGGTCTGTAATGTGCTGGGCACACTCAGACAACCAGTAGGACCACATCTAGTGCATTCTGTGGAGAGCACTTGTGCAGGCTTAAAAATACCTACATGCTTCAACCTCCTGTTTTCACATCTAAGATCCTAAGCAAATGAGGAGAAATGCAGAGATTCATATACAAAAAGATAGAACTCTCAGGGTTTGTTTTATGCAGTGGAACTTTCTTGTGTTTCTTGATGCTGTAAGTATGTGTACTCGTTGCAAAAAGAAGAAAAGGTCAGATGATATAAAAGACAGTGAAAAGATGACCCGTTTATACGCATGTACATTTACACACGTGGACTCTGTTCTCTCACATGTGTCCTCTCAAATGTTTACACGGAGGACTGTTTTCTCACCTGTGCCCTCGCAAATGTTTACACAGATTGTTTTCTCACACGTGTCCTCAAACATTTACACAGATAGACTGTTTCTCATGCGTGTCCTCAAACGTTTACACAGACGGACTGTTTTCTCATGCGTGTCCTCAAACGTTTACACAGATGGACTGTGTTCTCTCACGTGTGTCCTCATACATTTACACAGATGGACTGTTTTCTCACATGTGTCCTCATACGTTTACACAGATGGACTGTTTTCTCACGTGTGTCCTCAGATGTTTACACAGGTGAGGAGACTTGTCTTCCATAATCGAAAACCAAAAGCCGTTGCCACTGATCCTGAATCCTAGTGACCCTGTAGGAGAGTAGGTCTGCTCCAGAGGATTCCCAAGGCTGTGTGTTTCTATGGGAGGAGACTGCCACGTATTTCTCCCTCAGAGCCAGTGGGTGGTTTTGATCTGCTAGCCTTTGGGTTAGAAGCCAAGCACTTACCCACTGAGGTCCTAGGGCTCCTTTGTCTTGTATAAAAACATAACCTAACCCGTTGCCAACTCTGACTCAGCGACCCTACAGGACAGAGTAGAACTGTCCCGTAGGGTCTCCAAGGCTGTAAATCTTTATGGAAGCAGACTGCTATGTCTTTCTTCCTTGGGGAAGCTGGTAAGTTCAAACCGCTGACCTTTTATTATGTGACTGAGTGCCATGACCACTGCACCACAAGGGCTCCTCCATCTTTTGTGCTGCCTAAACATCTCCTTTTCTGACTGAAGATGTCTTGGATACGTGGATTCAGGGAGAAGTTCCTAACCAAGACTGAGAAATTATAAGCTAAAAAAGAAAAAAAGCATCTCTCTTTGTAAAGGTTTGTCATGTTCTGCATGGTAAACAATCTGGTGGTCATCTGGAATGATGAGACTAGTTCCTGAGATATATAAAACATCCTTAGAAAGTGACGAGAGAACCAGCTGGCTCTCATGTGGCAGTGTCGGTCTGCTGACATTAATTTCAGCTGCTCCGAACATGGGAACATCACTCCACCTCTGTGTGAGCCCCCAGCAAAAGCTCCTTCACATACGTCACTGCTCCTGATGGTTCCTGGGTAACTGAACTGTTGCTGTTACACAGCAAATCTTGTCCTCCATCAGGTCGGAAAAGGTTATAAACCCAAAGCTTATTTTAAAAACCCTTACCTGATGTTCATCTAAACTTTTGTTTTCATTTTTTATGAATATGTCTTTCCTGTATTTGCTCATCTTGTTTGTTTTGTTTTGGTTTTGTTTTTGGTTAGATAGAAACTACATTTTTTCTAGGTGGATTAAAAAAAAACCCACCAAACTCACTGCTGACAAGTCAGTTCCAATTCACAGCGACCCTTCCTTGGGTTTCCAAGGCAATATCTCTACAGAAGTAGATTGCCCAGTCTTCCTTCCAAGGAGTAGCTGGTGGGTTTGAACCGCCAGCCT